ACACACACACACACACACACACACACACACACACACACACACACACAGACCCTTGGAAGTGGCAGAGGGAATCTGAAGGTAGGAGGGGCTGAGAAAAACACATGTCTTCCTGCTCAGCCTTGGGAAGTCCTTCTCTGAACCTGGTTTCATCCTGGGCCCTGGTGAGCTCCCAAGCAGCGGGCAGGCTTTCATGCTCACATCAGTGGGCACATACAAGGCCCCACACGTACCCACACTCACACGCACCCTTCACACACTCACGCTATGCCTCTGCTCCAGGCAAAACCTTCCGGCGGGGATTCCCCTGCGGCGCCTGCAGCCCACGACATGTCAGCTCCCATCACAACACGGGGTGGGTGGGGGGTGAAGAGGAAAGGATGGGAAGGGGGCGTCCCTGAAACTGTTTTCACCCCACCCCGCACCCAGTCCCTGCTGGCCCACCTCCTAGGAATCTGCAGTTTGGGGCTGCGGCCTGCTGTGGCCCTAGATCCTTCAGCCTGTGGGGAGGGGGACCAAGGGAGTCAGAGAGAAAGAGGTGAAGAGACAGGGAGACAAGTGGGGGGAGCAGGGGGGGGCAGACTGGCAGAAACACAGAGAGTCAGAGAGAGAGAAAGAGACAAAGTGGCAAAAAGAGAGGGGCGCCTGAGGGGCAGGGCATGTGACTCTTGATCTCAGCGTGGTGAGTTCAAGCCCCACGTTGTGCCAAGAGCTTACATAGATAAATAAATAAGTAAATAAGTAAGTAAATACATAAAAGGAAAGGAAACGAGAAAGAATCTGAAAGCAAGGTACAGAGGCAAGGAGCCAGCCTGATGCCAAGAGAGACTGAAGAACAAACAGAGGAGGAGACACAGAGAAGGGCACTGAGATCAAGAGATGAAGAGGGGAAGAGTGAGCAAAAGAGGCAGGAGGGGATCCGAAGACACTACAGAGAGAGACCCAGACAGAGGCAGAAAGAGATAGAGATGGAGAGCCAGTGCCTGGGGCTGGAGAGAGGAAAAGTGGCAGAGTGAGGGCATCCCACCGTGTCTCTGAGCGCCCCCCAACGAACTGGTCTTGCGCTCCGCCTGGGAAACTGCTCTGTCTCTGATGGAAAACCCTGGCCTGAGAGGCGGAGCTCCTAAGTTTGGAGGCCCAGCTGTGCACCTGCTTGGCTGTGGGGTCTCTAAGGCTCAGAACCCCAGTCTCTGAAGCACAAGTACACGGTTTTGCCTCCCACAGCTTCGGGGGGGGGGGGACTCAAGTTGAAGGAATAATAACAGCAATGGAAATAGCTGTCATTTATTGAGAGGCAGTGCAGCATTGCAAGGAAGAACCCAGACCTGATTGCTGGGGCTCGTACCCCAGCTCCCGGCTGCGCGACTTTAATCAGGTGACTTCCTCTCTTTGTGCCTCAGTGTGCTCATCTGCAAAACGGGGATAATGATAGCACCTACCTCATGGGGTTGTTTTAAGTATTCAGAGGTAATACAGTGTAATGGGTTTAGAATAGTTCCTGACAGAGTAAACCCTGTATAAATATTAGCAGCCATCATCATCATTATGATTATTATGATTATTATTAATATATCATTTTCTCTGGCTCTCTCTCAGCCACCAGCAGGTCAGGTGACCAGGAGATCTTCCCACATGCATGCATGCATGCGCACACACACACACACACACACACACACACACACACACACAACGGTAAACCATGTCCATGCCACTCTCCAAATGCAGGGGGTCGCTTCATGTTGTGAAACTCTCTGTGCCCTTTTCCCATATCATCAGGAGACTTCCCTGTCCCAACCACCTCACCCATCCAGAGAGGGGATGCCTCCAGGCCTGAAACCCCCCACCTACCATCCAAGCCCTGGCTCTACCACAGGCCCTGACCCAAACCTGATGCTCCTGACCTTGTTCCTCCCCCAGCCACGCCCCTTGGACACGGCCATACCCTGCCCTGAAATCCATACCAGGCAGGGCGTCAGGCCTCCAGCTGGCTCAGAACAGGCCCAGTCACTCCACATCTCTCTCCCCAGCCTGAAGGACCCCACTCACCTCTCTGCAGGGAGTCAGGGCCTGGGCAGGTACCTGCAAAGGAACAAAATGACCTTATTAGCATCCTTCGGGCTCCTCTCTGAAGACCTGCCTCAGAGATCATCTGGGCCAAGGAAGTCCCTGATGTGATCACTCTCTCCGTCCTCCTGCTGCAGGCTCTGTATAGTCTCAGACAGACCCAGCGAGTCGTTTCTGGAATCCAGGGAGTCTGGGCCTCAGGACTGTTACCCCTCCGAACCCAGGAGTCCAGGACTTTAACCCTTTGTCCTCTGTGGGCTCTCCAGGACAGAGACCCCAGGCCCCTCCTCCCTCAAGACGCTGGTGTCTTCAATCCCAGACTCTTCCTTCTTCAAACTCCAGAGTCCAGGTCTCGGTTTCTTCCTTTCTCAAGACCCAGGAATCTGGCCTCCCAGCTGCCTTCTCTTTCAGATCCAGGATTCCAGGCTCCCAGCCTCTTCCAGAGTTCACATCCCAGTCCCCCAACTTTGAAGAGCTGAGTGGTACCAAGGGTAGGAAAGAACCAGAGGTCCCCATCCTCGCCATTACACCACTGTCACACCAACACGTGTGGACACGCCAAAACCCACATGGACCCACAATCCAAGTCTCTACATCTGGATTTCCAGGAACACACCAGTATGATGTGTGTCCCCACCCTCCATGGGCTCTTGGCCTGGCATGAGGACACATTTGTGTCCTTGGACCCCCCGGATGGACCCCAGCATACCACAGGTCACACCACACAGGCCCCAATCTCACTGGGCCAAGAGTGAGGTCAGCCTCGTGCCAGGGAGACAGACACGTGCGTGCATATTGCCCTGCACGTACATTTGAATGGATACAATCCCAATCCCCAGAGACCAACATTGACACATAAATGGACTCACAACACAGGCACACACCCTCAAGGTGGATACACCTGCACACAACCACACATGTACAACACTGACTTTCCTTTGCACATTCATACATACTCATGGACACACACAACAGAGAAACCCATGTGCCCCATTGCAGACAACCAGATACTCCTATACATGCTCCTATAACAGATACACACTTGCACGCTAGCCAACACACAGGGGCACACACATATATACTCACTTGCACAAACAGGTGAAACACAGGTGCGTGCTCTTAAATGCCCAAACACACTCCTACACACTCATACAACTTCACATATCCCCCAAGATGCATGGTCACAAAACTGATACATCGCCACACCACCAGATGCACAAATGCACATACTAGCAGATAGACACCTCACACACATACACAGAACTACAAGCAGACACAGATACACAAAACTGAGACACACTCAAACAAGCACACAGGCACAAAAAGATCCACCTTGCACCCACATTCTGAGATGTTCACTCATTACAGACACAGGCTCACACAAGAGCCCTGTGAGGGATTTTACACACTTCCAAAATGCACACAAAATACTGAACCACAGTAGCATAGTCAACAGGCACAGATTCACACACACAGTCATGAGCACACATCCCTCCTAGCCCTGAGGGACCCCCACCCCACCTACTTCCCAGGCCAAAGAAATCCTAACATCCTTCCCTCCCAGCACTTCTCCCCCACCCGCAACCAAGGCACCAGCCAGGGCCTGAGGTCAGAGTTCAGCAGGTAGAGTCTCAAAGGGTTGGGGGGGCTGAGTCCTGGAGCCCGGCTACAAGGCAATCCTCCCACTAGCAGCCCAAAAGTCCCCCGGCCTGGCCATCTGTATGCCGGCAACTCCGGGCCCCATCTGCGGAGATCTGGCGGGTTGGGGGATTGGGGTGGAGTGGTTGGGGAAGGACCGGGTCTGTGCCCCTCCCCTCGGGCCCATCTGTCCATCCCTCGGCCTCTCATCCCTCCATCTGTCCACCTACCGGCCGCCCATCCCCCCCCCTCCCAGGCACCGGGAAGGGGAAGACATGGCCGTCTCCCCCAAGGACCGCTGAGGACCCCCCCAGTTGACACGGACCGAGGGAGCGGCAAACTCCCCTCCCCCAAACCCACACAGGCCTGGACCCACAAGGAACAAGCCCCAGCCCCCGGCTGGGAACCTGACGTGGACGCACAGACACACACCCTCGGAGACACACAACCCGCAGACACACACACACACACACACACACACAACACAAATGGACACCCGAACGGGCACACCCGGCTACACAAACCCTAGGATGGACATCCAACCTGGACACAAACACCCAACGCAGCCAGCCCCGCGCACACCAGCTGGGGGGAGGAGGGGGACCCACACCTGGGCACACAACCCACGCACACACACCTGCACACAGCCCCTCCGATGGGCGCGCGACAGCCCCCCAGACACACAGCCGGAGGGACAAGCCACTCGGGGGGACACACGCGCGCGGCCGGACACAGCACCTCGGCTCGACACCCAGCACACACCCGGATGGCCACACAAGCAGGGCGCCGCACACGCCGGCGCCGGGCACACACAGGGCCGCGCGAGCGCACGCCGGGCCCGCCGCAGCGCCGCGGACACACACTCACACGCTCGCACGCTCGCACCCGCGCTCCCACCGGCGCCCCCGCCCGCCGCCTCCCGGGCCGCTGCGGGCCGTGCTCACCCAGCCCGGGGGGGCCCCGGGCCCGGCCCCGCCGCCGCCGCCTCGCTCCGCGCCATGGTGGGGGGGAGGGCCGGGGGAGGGGGCGCGGTGCCGCGGGGCCGCCTCCCTCCCGCCTCCCGCCCTCCCTCCCGAGCAGCCGCCGAGCTCCGCCCTCCGCGCCGCCCGCCGCCAGAGCCCCGCCGCCGCCACCGCCGCAAGGGGGGAGGGGGCGCCGACCGGAGGGGGCGGGCGGGGCGGCCGCACCGCCCAGACCCCCGCCCCCGGGGCGCGCCGCAGACCCCCCTCCACTGCGGAGCCGCCAGCCCGCCCCCGACCCCTCCCCAGCCCCACCTCCAGCCCCGCTGGCTTCCCCAGAGACCCCCCCCCGACCACGCCCCAACTGGCTTGGGCACTCGGATCTCGCAGCGGAGACCTGGGATCATGTCCCAATACGCAGGGGAACCTCAGACCATGCCTTACCTCCTCTGAGGACCCAAACCATGTTCTACAGCCACTCCGGACCACAAACCATGTCCTACTCTCCTAGGTGACCTCAGACTCTGCCCCATACTCCAGTGGGGACCCCAGACCATATCCCAGCACCCAAGGGGACCCAGAGCACCCCCCACAGGGACCCCCAAATCATACCATAGCATTCAGGTAGACCGCAGAATATGCCCCAGCTTCCAGAGAGGACCCAAACCATACTTCAACATCCAGGGAGATACAAGATCATGTCTTACTTCCTTTGGGGACCCAAACCATGTCCTACTGCTTCTTGGGGACCCCCAGCCATGTCCTTCCACCCTCTAGGACCACAAACCATTCCCTGACCCCCAATAGGGACTCCAGACCATGTCTAATTTCTAGGGGGACCCCAAAATGTCTTATTCCCCCTAACTTTCCTCATTACCCTCATTAGACCCAGACCATCTTCCCCTCTAAGCCCCCCTCTTAGTTTCCAGAACCCCTGATTTGCCCCCAGATTCTTTCCCTGCCTCCTTCCTGTTCCTACTCTTTCTTTTGGACCCTGCAGACCCTCCCCCCTCCCTGTGACTTCCATGGAGCCCAGATTCCTTGCTCCTTCCTTGGTTAGATTCCTTTCTTGCCCAACTCCAACCCAATAGCTGACCCCCAGTCCCTCCCCCAAATCCCACTGAGTATCTCAGGCCACTTTCCACTTCTTTCTGAGATACTCACCACCCCCCCAAACCCAACAAGTCCTCTCCTCCAAATCTGTCTTATTGCAGTCCCCCAGCTCCCTGGCAGCTCAAACCCTTCCCATTTTGGATCCCACTGTATCAAGGTCCTCTGCCAAACCCCTTCCCTAAATTCTTCCTAGTCACATCATCGCTCGAAGCATGCCCGATCCCTACTCCTCCAACACACCAGCTCAGTCCAACCCCTGGTCTTGGCACTCTTTCCCTTTCCTTGTCATTCAGATCTTAATTCAAACATCATCTCTTCAGAGAGGCCCTCTTTCCCCCTCCCCAGTATGCACCTCCACCCCCACCAATTGTCCTGATGTCTGCCAATTACTCTAAAATCCATAAAAAATTAGATGGGTTGATGGATGGGTTGATGGATGAGGATGTGATAAAGCAAGTCCAATAAAATGTTAATGGTAGAATCTAGGTGGTGGGTCTATGGGTGTTCACAGTAAAATTATTTCAACTTTGCTGCATGTTTGAAATTTTTCATAATACATATTGGGAGGTGAGCAGGAGGACTCTCCTAGAAGAGACTAAAGAGGCAACAAAAGGTCCCAGCATTTCTATCACATCATCTCATTTTATTTCCTACCTAGCTCTTACCGTGCTTGTTAATAATCTTGTTTGTCTCTTTGTTTACTTATTTGTTTGTTTATTGTTTGTTATCTAGTCATTGAAATATAAGCCTCCTGAGGGGAAGAGGCATGGGTACCAATTTTCTCCAGTGTCCAGAAGGGTGAATGGCACCCAGTGGGTGCTCAACAAACACGTGTTCTTGAATGCCTCAGGAGAGGGCCTGGGAGCTAGGCCCACTCCAGACTCCCTGCAGGAGCCACACTCAGCAATAAACCTCATGTCCCAGCCTGGGGTCACTAGAAGGGAAGGGGGAAACCCCCAGCGGTAGAAGGACACCCCATAAGGTCAGGGAATGTGAGTTGGCCTGAAAAGAGGACAACAGGTGGAAGTTTCCTCCGGCCTTAATTCCTGCCCCAGACTTTGTAATAGCGACTGGCAACCATTCTCACACTTCCACGATTAGGCCCCGCCCCAAGCCTAGTCACACACACACACACACACACACACACACACACACACACACACACCCCACACACCACCCCCTCTCTCCAAGGCTCTGCCCAAAGCAAAAACCCCAGCACTTTCCGACCTCAGGTTGCGCTCAGGCCTAGGTCCTACCCTCTTAGCCCCAGCACTGCCCCGTGCACCTTAAACTCCACCCCAAAAGCATCTAGTTTTCAGTCCAAGCACGGCCCCTCTTGGCTAGTTTAGATCCTCCATTCTCTGTTTCGCCCTAAATCCCGTTTCTTCCTCTCCAACATAAGCCCTATTTTCCTTGAAGGTTAGCAGGGAGAAGAGCCCCAGGGAAGCCCTAGAGCCTGGATTCAAAAATTAGGGAGCCTGGATCTGTGGAGCCTGGGTGAAGGCTGTTGGGAAGAGAGGAGGTAGCCCCTAGTTTGGGGGGGGGCTTGAAGGAGAGGCCCCAAACCTGGAGCCATGCCCCATTGTGCTGACTCTCCATTGGATAGTGTATTCTGCTCTGGCCTCTCTGATTGGTCCCTCCGCAATCCCTCTAGCCAAACCTCCTCTTCATTGGGCAGTCCCCAGAGCCACCCTCTCTGATTGGTCCTTGCTTTCCAAACTCCCTGCTCCTGATTGGGCAACTCCTCGTACATGCCTCTTTTTGGTTGGATTGTTTGCAATCATGAGCCTGGAGGCTGACAGAAGTCCAACTACGTGGGAAGGACGAGAGGGAGAGGGGAGGGGGAGGAAGAGGAAGGGATGAGTCCCAAAATCCCCAACCAGGGAGAGGGAGTGGCCCTTGACCACCAGATAGCCTTGAGTTAAAGTTCTAATTGTGCAAACCACTAGCTGTGGGGCTTCAGGCAAGCATTTTTGGCTTCTGTGCCTCAGTTTATTCATCTGTAAATTGGGGATAATGATACCATCCTCATGGGGTATTGTTAGGATTACATGAGTTAACACCTGTAAAGTGCTTATAGAAGTACTTGGCACATAGGAAGCCCTCAATCAGAGAGTTTATTATTATTAATTTGATCATGTAAGTGCATGCACCTTGGACAAGTCCTTCTGCCTCTCTGACCTCTGCAGGCCGGCCGTTGCTTGACCTCTTAATTGAACGACCTCTCCTATCCCCAGCCCTCCTCTTCTTTCATCTCTAGCCATCAGAGACTGAGGCTGTGATCACAGGGAGGAGTGGAGATGTGCCTGGCAGAGATGGCCTGGGGAGGACACCAGGACGGGTGTCAGAGAGAAGCTCAAATCCCGCCCCCCCAAATACGGGGGGGGCCGGCGTGTGTGTGCGAGGATTTCTCTATGCAAAGGGCTTGTCCCGATAGAGGACAAGGGGCAAGGGATGGGCAGAGGCAGGTGGTGAGGGGATGGTGTGTTCTGGCCGGGGGCTGGGGAGGGGTTGGAGCTGGGCTTGTGGACCCTCCCCCAGGAATGACAGGGCTGGGGGAGGGACATCCCAGGCCCAAGGTCATTGTGTCACTGTTACCATGGCAACGAACACCTCTCTACAGGGAACCTGAAAAGGGGTAGGGGGGAGGGAGCTCCCAGGTCCCTGGATCTGGGGACGGAGAGAGGAACAGAGACCGGGAGGAGAAGCACAGAGAAAGAAAGAGTGATTTATCTCTGTGAAAACCTGCCCATCTCAAAATTCTCAGAGCCTGGTACACTGTGGGTGCTCAAATAAATGTCCCTCAGAGACAAAGACAGAGAGCCCAAGAGACTCAAAAGCCCAGAGATGCCAGAAGAAAGAAAGAAGAATCGCCTGACTGGGGCGGGTGTAGGATGTCCCTTTCCTGACCTTCAAATTCATACCCCTCAGGGGTCCACTGAGAGCCCTGGATCCTCTCTCACCTTCCCCAGCCTTGGGTCCTCAGGCCTCCCTAACCCCACAAACCACCCACCCCAGCAACTCCCTGAAGCAATTATGTTTGATCCTTCAACAACTTTTCTGCCTTTAAATTCTTCCAGCCTGGGGGCTCACTGAGAAAAGTAGCATTCAGAGCCAGCTAATGCCTGCTAGCTCCTAGAGCTGGGGTGGGAAGTGGGGAGGAGAGGAAACAGGCACTCTGCCTCCTTCACTCTCAGGAACCCAGGTGTCCTTATTCCCCTAGGAGTGCCGCCTCCTGGATTCGGATATTTTCCAATTCCTCCCGGAAACCACCCCCCCCCCCCGCCAACTCCTCCCCAGGAAACCCTACAGGTCCCTCCCTTTCTTTCCGAGAAACAGGTACCTCCCCCCCAACCCCTTTCCTCCTGGGACTCAGCGGGCATCCACTTGGTCTGCCTGCCCTCTGCTGGCCTAAGGCCGGTACTGCAGGGACCCTTGGCTAGCGCTCACAAGGAGAAACAGAAACAGAACTGAGGATCTCTGAGTTCTTGCATTTTAATTTCTGCCGGTTCTCAGACGTTCAGGTTCTAGGGGTCCCAGTTCCCAGTTTCTTCAGGGACTCCAACATCAGGAATCCAGTTCTCCAGCCCAGAGGTCAACGAAAGAAAGACAACTTCTCTTGGAGCCAGGCCTCCGTGAGATCATCAGTGGTGCGGATTTCAAACACCTGGGCAGGGAGAGTTCTCCACATTAAGACCCACTCAGGAACCGAGGAGGTGAACACTCTGACCCCCTCCGCCCCTCAGAACAGGAGCCCAGACCCTCAGCCCATCCTCCTTAGCCCTGGGGAGCCTCAGCTCCAGGCCCAGACCTTTGTGAGTTCTGCAGTCTGCACCAGTCTGTTTTTACTCCCTGCATACATCATCTGCTGTTCAGGCTTGCAGCCTGTAGGAAAAAGAGGAGAAAAGAGCATAACTGGGGGACCCCGGTTATCACTAAGGCCCTAGCAATGTCATGTAGGCCCTGAAGTTTTCAGAGTCCTGAGAGCTGTTCTAAGGTGGTCTCTTGCTGCTATACCCAGAGTTTTGGGGCTTGTTTGGGGGGGGGGCTTGTTATTCTGAGGGTCCCTGGAGATGGTTTCGAGGCCACACAGGAGTTTCTAAGTAAAAGGGAGAGGTTAACTGGCTTATACACCTTGGGACTCAGGAGGATGGGTGGGCCCTTAAGGAATCTGAGTCCCCACCTCCACCCTACTGCCCTCCCAGCACCCACCCACCACACGTGCCACGCGCTCACACCAGTCACACATACCTGCACCCACGGACATGCTCCTGCACACCCCACGCACAGAATCTAAGACCCTCTTGTGATGGACAGGGAGAGCCGTGCCTTACCCACGGGGCTGGAGAAGATGAAGCACAAAGGGTAGGACACTCGGCCGTCCTCATGCACGTACTTGTAGCTGTAAACCACGAACCTACACCAGCGAAAGGGAATGCAAATTCAGTACTTCCACCTGGAGCCCAATGCCCATTACCTGAGTCCACAATCTCAAAATCTTGCCTGAGTCTGAAAAGCTAGGCTTAACAAATGAGACCCCAGGATACTGGCCTCAAACACAAAAGGATGAAAAATAATCATGGTAGGTGCTTGTTTGATTCACAATGACCCTCTAACGTAAGTGCTCTTATTATGCCCATACTACAGATGGGAAAACCGAGGTCCTGTGGTTTTCTTAACGAGGTTCTCTTGGATACAGGAAAGATTTGAGCCCAGGGAATTCAGTGCCAGAGTGTAAGGCCTCAAGTACCATGTGGTACCGTCCAGAGCTCTAGACCTCTGGCCTGAGACCAGGGCGGGCTCCATCATTTGCCAAGCGCAGTGCAAAATGGAAATGTGGGGCCTGCTGTTCAAAAGGCAGGAGAAAAGCTATTCCCTTCCCTCCACAGTCTCTCTCCCGACTGGTCATAGTCTTTTAAAATTCGTTACTTCAAGTCAGGCTCTCTTGGGCATGGGGACACTAGCAGGGGAAGTACAGATGCTCGCAGAAAGACCCTTGAAATTGCCATGCGGGGGGGGGGAGGAGGTGTGCCAACCCTGACCCTGATTCTGACCCTCCCCCCATCTGCACTCAGGCCCCCTGCGAGGGACAGAGGACAACAGCACTCACTGGGTAGGGCAGTGACCAGGGGAGAACCTGTCCAGGGCCGAAGGAGGGAACACGTGTGAGCCGAAGAAGGCTCCAAGCCCCCACACATGCTCCACTGTCCCATCAGACTTTACACAAAACACAAATTCAAAGATAAAACCATAAAAAATTTCCAGATGGCAGGCAGCCTCAGAGCACTAAGCCCCGTCTGTGTTTGAATCTCCCTTCTGTGCATGGGGCCCAGTGCAACCGCACATGTCAGACACCTGGGGAGCTGGTCCTGGCTGAGATCGAGAGCCTGAGATGTAGGGTCAAAATGCTGGGGCACCCCAAATTCACCCTAGTGGAGATGAAAAATCTAAACAGACTAGATTTCATAGGAGTTTGACGTCAAAGAGCTCCTCCGTACAAAAAGCACCAGACTCAGGGCGCCTGGGTGGCTCAGTCATCGGGCGCCTGCCTTCGGCTCAGGTCATGATCCTGGGGTCCTGGGATCGAGCCCCGCATCGGGCTCCCTGTTCGGCGGGAGGCCTGCTTCTCCCTCTCCCACTCCCCCTGCTTGTGTTCCTGCTCTCACCATCTCTCTCTGTCAATAAATAAATAAAATCTTTAAAAAAAATAAGATAAACTTCAATATAATCGCAAAATTTAAAAAAAAAAAAAAAAAAAAACGCACAAAATTAGGGGGCACCCAACAGGATTCCCCCCCCCATCATTAAAGGTCAAACGACTCCTCTGCTTCCCAAAGTATTCTCAGGCACTGAAAAAGAAAAATTTCATTTTTTGTTTAATGAAGTAAGTGCAATCATGAGACCAAAACCTGACAAAGTTTGTACAGAAAAAAAAAAAAAGAGCAAGCTCTAATATCACATATGACTATCAGTGTAAAATTCTGCAATAAAATATTAGTATACAAACAAAAAGTCCTAGGGTGTGAATTCGTGGCCTCAAACCCAGATCAGAGCCTGTGATTAAGACTAGAATCCAAGGGGTCCCCCAGTCTGTTCCTTCATCATCACCCCCTCTCCCCGGCTTGACCCTCCCCTCCCTACCCCTAGGATACCTGGGCTGTCTCTCTGGCAACTCTGTTTTTAGTTCGTCTGGAGAAATGTTCTGGGGGGGAAGAAAAAGAAAAGACTGTCAAAGTCAGCATGAACTATGTGCCAAAGCACTGGTCTAAGAAACACACATAGATCAACTCATCCACTTCTCCCACAATTCTGTGCGGTAGCTTCTCTTCTTATCCCCACTTTACAGGTGAGCAAACTGAGGCCCAGGGCTGTGAAGACGCTGGTCCAAGGTTGCGGATAGCGAGCGGCAAGATTTAGATTTGAATCTGGGTTCAAATCGTAACCATTTTGCTACGCTGCCTTTCAAAGGACTTGAGAGAGCCCAGCTCCTAGCCAGTCCCCCTCCCCTGTCAAACAGCCCCAGCCTCAGCCTCCATGGGCCACCCCCCAAATCCTTACCATAACACAAGAAGTAAGCCTTATTATCATCCCCGTGTGGCTGATAAAGACAGTGAGGCAAAAAAGAGGGATATCTACCCTTTTATAAAGGATTTCCCCTGGCTTTTTGTTGACTCGTCTGGAAACTTTCATTTAAGTGCCAATAAAATATCATCACCACCATCATTTTATTGAGCATATTCTATGTGCCAGGCCCACTTCTAAGCTCATGACAAGGATTAAAGCACTGAATCCATAGACCCTATGAGGTAGGTACAGGTATCCCCATTTCACAGATGGGGAAACAGAGACCCATACAGGTGAAGTTTCTTGCCTCGAGTCACAGCTGAGCTGGGATTTGACCTCCAGGCCTTTCTGGCCCCCAAATTCAGGCTCTTAGCATCAGTTCCAGCCCCCTGGTTCTCCCAGTCCCACCCTGCCCTTTTTGGGGGTCCCATCCATCCCAGACTCTCACCTGAAATTCTTCCTCGAGCACCACCATCTGCCGGTCTTTGTCCACCTTCACTGGGGAGGAATGGCACACAGGGGTTAGCTGCCCCTTCCACCCAGTGGCAGCACTAGCCCAGACTTCCTTGTTTGTCCTCACCCCCTCTGCCATCCTTCCAAGGGAGGAGATGACACTCACTTATTATGGCTGCATTGTCCGTCTCTTTTCTGAAGCGAAATTTTCTCAGCTTTTCCTTTAGCTCAGGGTCCACCTCGCACACCACCAGGGAGTCGGACTGCCAGAGGAGCCCAGAAAGAGCTGAGCGGGCCTGGTCTCAGCCCCCCACCCCCTTCCCCAAACCTCAGTTTCTCCATCTACTCATGAAGAGGTGGGTCGGACGGCTCATAGGACGCCTCTGGGTACTTTAGGGAAAGGGCGCTTTCCTCAGGCAGGTGCTACCCCTTACCAGTGCACACATTTGGGGTGTAGGGCAGAAGCTGGGCTCCAGCCCTCTAGGCAGGTGCCCTTGGGGAGCACTTGAGGAGACACGGGGATCTGCTTGCCTGGGGCTAAACCCGGAACCAGCCTCTCTCTTCCCCACAGCCAGGCCCTTTGCCGCAGTGGGGTAGCCCTCCCAGCCCCTGACTAGCCCACAGGCTGACCTTCACCCAGGCACTCTCCCAGCCCCAGCCCCAGCCCCCAGCCCTTCCCATACACCCCCCAACCCCCTGACCATGACTTTTCTGTCCACAGGCCTCTTCTTTTCTCAGTTCCGCTATCTTCTAGAGGTGGGGACCAGGGCTGCAGGGGGCGGGGTGTGGGGCAGGGGAAAGGTTTCATCCAACACCACATCCTGTTTATGCCCATGCTGGGACAACTGTCTCAGAGGGCTCCTCCCCTTCCTTCCTTCCCCTCATCTGCCAGGACCTCCCAGGCTTTGCAATCACCCAGACCGGGGTTCAAATGCTGCCTTGCTGTGTGACCCTAGCTAAGTAACTTCACCCCTCTGATTCAGGATTCTTGTGAGGATAAAATAGCTTCACATACCTCCTGGCATGGTGGACATGCTCAATACACAGTAGATAACAATGAGCTCTTTAGTTCCTCCCCTCCTCCAGGAAGCTCTCCTGGATTGTCCGCCTTCTGGAATATTTTGATTCCAGAGTAGAAAAGGGGAGCTTAGGGATGTTGGCTAGCCAAACTGCCACCCACTGCGTTGATGGGGAAATGGAGACTCCACAGCACCCAGGTAATGCTGAATTTTTTTCCTGCAGTTATTCAACTTCAGGGGCCTAATAATGGGCCCTACAACAACGGTGTCCAATTCTGTCAGACCGGTACCCCCTTTTTTATTAGGTGCGTTTTGTGTTGCCCCCTATCCCACTGTGAAATGAAATTCCTAGATAACGTAACCTACTTATACACAAACTCCCCTCCCCCCAAATCAATACAATGTCCTGTCATATAAAGGAGAAATAAAAGGGAAGTAATTTATGGGAAAACTCCATGTATTTCAGTGAGAAAATATAAGCCAACAAAAGAGACTCTTCACAGGTCCCAGGTCCCCATTGGCTGGCCCGCCATGCTGGCTCCAGCTGTAGCCTTCCAGAACGCCCTCCACAGGCACTGGATCCCACCCTGTCCCCCTCTACTGACGGGTGTCACTGGAGCTATTCTCCTTCTCCCTGCATCATCAATGTTCCCATCCCTACTAAGATCTTTCCTCTTGGCCTACACGTGGGGTTGTCTTCCTTCTTAAAAACGAAGAACCCTATCTTCCGTCCAGCACTGCCCATTCATTTCCTTCCCTTTTCAGCAAAACTTCTCAAAAGAATCATCTACACTTGCGGCCTCCAATGTCTCCTCCTGCCTTTCTCTTCAGCTCTCTCCCAGCAGATTGTTACTCCTGTCCCCATCCCCTGAAGTACCCTTGTCGGGGCCACCAATGACCACTATGGTGTTGGACCTAATGGTCAATTATCAGTCTTCCTCTGTCATCCCCTGTCAGCTGCATGTGACACCATCCATCCCTCTCTGTGCCCTGAAGAAACACTTTCCTCCCTTGGCTTTCAGGACAACACCCTGGCCTGGTTTTCCTCCGAGTGTTCTAGCTGCTGCTTCTTGGCTTCTCTTGCTGATTCCTCCTTTTAACTGTGGGGTGTCCCGGGGCTCAATCCTTCGTCTCTTTTTCACCTACCATCCTCTTTTGATTTCATCCAGTTTCTTGGCTTTCAAAGGGGATGCCCTATTTATTTCTCCAGCCTGGGTTTCTCCATGCACTCTACACTCCTACATCCAGCTGCCCAGCTGACATCTCCACCTGGATGACTGTCATCCTTAACCGGTCTCATTCCTCTCATCGTACACTAGAACTTGTCAGTTCTGAACTTCATTTTGAAATGTAACCAGACGGGCGCCTGGGTGGCTCAGTCGTTAAGCGTCTGCCTTCCGCTCAGGTCATGATCCCAGGGTCCTGGGATCGAGCCCCGTGTCGGGCTCCCTGCTCGGCAGGAAGCCTGCTTCTCCCTCTCCCACTCCCCCTGCTTGTGTTCCCTCTCTCGCTGTGTCTCTCTCTGTCAAGTAAATAAAATCTTAAAAAAAAAAAAAAAAGAAAGAAAGAAATGTAACCAGAACCTGCCCAACTCCCCCCTCCACGGCCCATACCCTGGTCCCATCCACCTGCATCACCTGCCTGAACTCTTGCGGCAAACTCCTCACTGTTCCCCTGCTCCCCCTCCCATACTCTATTCTTCACAGGAATGCCAGAGGGATCCTAATAAAACCCAAGGCAGATGACATACTTCCTCTCTCAAAACCCTCCTACAGCTTCCATGTTATTTGAATAAAAGCTAGAGTCCTTACGGTGGCCTTTATCTGGTGGTCTTTCCCCCTCCTCCATTACCACTTGGACCTTGTCTTCTCCTACCCTCCTCTTTGCTCACTCCATTTCAGCCATGTTATCCTCGTTGTGGTTCTGTGAATAATCCTGCCACTGGGCCTTTGCACTTGCTGTTCCCTCTTTTTGGAACCCTCTTTCCCTTATGATTTACCCCTTCATTTCTTCAGATTTCTGCTCAAATCTCACCTGATCCAAGACACCTTCCCTCCCCAAAATAGTGCTGACCTCATCACTCCATTCCCTCAGCTTGCTTTATTTTTCCCTGTAGCACTTATCACCAAGTCACCTTGTATTTATTTATTTATCATGTCCCCTCAACCAGAATGTAAGCTTCAAGCATGAATGTAAGCTTTGTTCCATTGTTTAATTTCTAGAACCTTGAACACCACCTGACACATATTATGTTAGGTACTTGAATATCGTTGAGTGAATAAATGAACTGTTAACTATGGAACTACTATATATGCTGTGAAGGTTTTTACTTAAATGTAGGGGGTAATGGATGGGGTTTGTGATATCCTTCCAGGCTAGATCACTAACACCCACAGCTTCATTACCATCTTTGATGATCGTCAAATCTTGGTTTCCAGTCCCAATTTCTCTCTTAAGCTCCAGACCCGGTGCTGTGCCACCACCCAGCCCCCTACTGCTGGTGGCCCACACTGGACTCAGCATCTTGCAAACCTGCTTCTCCTCTGGGTCTCCTTCTCAGGGAGGCACCACCAACCCCTAACCCCCCAGGGCAGGGGCCTTGTCTAAGATTTCACCCTCTCACCCTGCTCTGCGGCCAGCCAGTCCCAAGGCAGGTTCACTCAGCCTCCTGGGCGTCTCTCCCGACCCACACCGCCTCCCTTTCCCACAGTCCGGTCCGGGTGCAAACGCCCCTGTCCCACCCCAACTGCCTCCCTGTACTGAAAGCCCCCAGTTTTATTCCTTCCAATCCACGCTCCATATGAAAGCCAGAGCCATCTTTCCACACGCCCAACTCACCATGACTCTCCCTGGCTTGAAGCCCCTTCCATGGCTCCCTAGTGTCCTCAAAAACAAGCCCAAACTCCCTCAAGTGAGCAAACATCTGGCCACAGCTCATTTCCCACCACTCCTTGCCTGGAACTCTACACTCCGTCCACCCCGACCGCATTTTCTTTGAGTTCCTCTAACACGCCATGTCTCTGTCACCTTCTGGGTAAGGGCCCCCGCTCCGCTTAGTCACCAGATCCAGGGAAGTTTATGGAATGAACAGATTACAATACTCAAAGCAACAACTCCCATTTGTTGACGGCCTCCATTGTGCCAAGAGCTTTCTACGCATCGTCTCTTTCAATCCTATTCCCACTTGGGAGAGGGCTGCGGTGGTAGAGCTGTGACTCCAGGAGCCTGAGCGCCAAACCGTAACCCGGCCGGTCGGGCCCACCTGGCCCCAGGCCTTAGGCGGGCGGTGCAAGAGGGGCGGGGAGGCCGGCCTTGAACACCAGATTCAGGAATTGTGACCTAGCTCACGGCCACTGAGGTAGACGCGCGCGAGACTGCCCCCTGCGGGCCGGGAGGCCCAATCCCTGGCTCCGCCGCGCCCGTTGCCCACGGCAACGCCGCGCGCGCCCCGCCCCCGCCCCCGCCCCGCCCGCCAGCCCCGAGGCCCCAGCGGGGCCGACTGCCCGTCAGCCCCGCGGCCAACCAATCCCACCGCGCAGGGGGCGGGCCTCTGGGGCCTCGCTCAACCTCCAGCGCTCCCCTCTCCGCCAGGACCCCGCCTTTCTCCGCGCACACCTCCCGCCCTTCGGACTGCCCTCGCCGCCCGTTGGCGGGCGCGCCGTTCGTCACCGCGGCGTGAGCTAATGCCGGCGCGCGGCGGCCCCGGCGGGGCGGGGCCAGGGGCGGTGACGCACGGCGCGGTGACGCAGCGCGACGGCGGCGGCGGCGGCGGCGGCGGTGGTCGGTGCGGGAGGAGGGAGGGCAGCTCGCGGGCCGGAGAGGGGGCGACGGCGGCGGCGGGGGCCTGAGGAGGCCCGAGCGGCGGCGGCGGCGGCGGAGGCCGAGGCGGTGAGTCGCGGGCAGACCCGGGCGGCGGCGGGGCGGCGGCGGGTCGGGGCGCGCGGGGCTCGCCTCAGGGCGCCCCAGGCCGCGCGGGCGGCCCCGCCCCCTCAGGGACCCCGAGCAGCGGGCGGCGGCGAGCGCGGGCCTCGGGGGTCCCGGCCCTCGAGACAATCCCCCACCCCCGACCCCCGAGCCGCCCGCCCAGGCCGCCTGGGAAGCTTTCCTCCGAAACCCTCCTCACACCCTGGGGACCGCGAGGGGCCGGGCCGGGGACCTTCCCCGTGTGACCCCCCCCCGCAGGTCTGCCTCAGACACCTCCCTGGAGGGCGTTCCCACAGCCCCGCCAAACCCGCCCTAGAGCCCCCCTGAAAACCCGCACCGCTCCTCCGGCCCGAAATCTTTCCGAGACCCCCCCCCCTTACGTCCCCACCGTCTTGTCCAGACGCCGGCTTAGGTCTCGGAAATCTTCCTCAGCGAACCCCTTCTCTGGCCCCAGATCCCCCATCCTCCTCCGTCCAGAAATATTCCCCGGAGGCCACTCCTCATCTATTCCAACAATGTGTGTCATATCTCCTCCTGGAGCCTCCCTCATAAGCCCTAAAAATCTCCTGCAGTCTCCCTGAGATCCCCTCCAGACCCCGCACATTCCGGAAATCTTCCCCAGAGGCCTATTTCACATATCCCCACAATCTCCCCAGGTCTTCCCTCTCACGGGTCCCCAAAATTTT